GAATTTTTCGGAAGAGTTTTTGCAAATTTTTGTCGGGAACGCCGATTAAAGTGACGGGCGATCGCCGGAACGTATTATTTTTTACTGATATGCGCGATTAATGACCTTTCGTTGGCTGCTGTCTCGTGAATTGAAATCAAGGTTAAAGTCAGCAAAATAAATGTACATTTTTATGCCGCAAATGAAAATAATTCCTACTTTCGAGTAGGAAAGCTTCGAAACGCAATATTTTTTTATTAGATATATAAAATGTTGAAAATATCATCTCTCGAAATCAGAGATCGCGAAAAACATAATTTTTGCTACGTATTCATAGTTGATGATCGTCTCGCTTGTTTTTAATACGCGTGCAATGTCGAGTCGCAGTGCACAAGATTGTAACAATCGGCTACATGAAATATGATGCAAAATCTCGCATTTGCGTTTCGTATATCGCGATACGAATCCGTAATTTTCCGTTCAATAGTACGCGTAATTAACAACAAATATTATTAATTATCTATGTAATTATAATGACATAGATACGAAATCACAATTAATATCCAACGAATATAAATTAAAGATTGCAAATTACTTTTATCGATTTTTCGGTAACAAAAAATCCCGTATTTGGGAAATCTGTCGGTTTGACAGGTTTGACAGACCACCGAAAATAAATGGCCGATTTTATTGCGCGCGAGAACCCACGTGGATCAAGATCCACGAGCATAATCCCATCGGCACCGTCGGGCTTTACGCTTCGTAACAATGCTCCGACTTTCTCCGTCACTTTCATTTTCGTTGGTCGACTGGCAGACTCTCCCGCTTCTCTCTCACTTAGATTAGGAAATAGTGCGTGCCCCCTCTGTGCCCCGGCCTGGATCGCTGTAAACCCGAGTTTGCCGGGCTCTCGAATCGCCTGCGATTGGTACCAGCGATTTTAGAAAGAATCTCTTATCTCCTGACTCGGTGACTCGGTTCTTTCCATTCCGTATCGGTAGAATTTGCGTTATTTTGCACAGATTCTTATTCTACTTCGTGCTTTTTTAACGTTGAACGCCGATCCACAAAGTGTGCACACTTTCACGTGTGCCTATCGTCTTAGTTTTATCACAGAGAAATTGTGACATGATTAATTTTAAATAAATATTAATAATAAGAAATTATTTTTCAGGCTTAATATATATATATATGAATATATACACAATTATTTTCTCTATATTAATATTAATTAGATTAAAGAAGCTATAATTATTCTAATGATATCAATGTTGGGATTAGGAGGTGAAATACGAGACATTGCGAAGAGGATCGATATTTTTTTAACACGTATATTTCACTTTCCGTTGAAAAATAATGCCGTAAATCGTCGTAAGAAATAATAGAATCTGCACAAATCAACTCTCTCGGCGCACCGCTGTTATTCGCTAAAGTTATTTACAATGACTGGAACTGTCGTCCGAAGAAAGGGAGGGGGGGGCTTTTTTTTCTTTTTACTTCTGCGAGCGACGGGGTGACACATCGAAGCGGAAACGATCGGACCCCCGACGCCGTCGAATCTTCCTCCCCGAAAGGGAGGCAGGGGGGGGGGATGATTAGGAGAAGAGAGCGTGTTTGCGCGGAAACGAGCAGCTTCCATTATACAGCGATAGCGAAAAAGTGTGCAGTTATAGCCTACCCTGTTCCTCCATTCAAAAACATTCACGAAATACGAATACACCATAGAACCCGACGATTTCGTTTAAACGCACAACTTCAGAGCGCCGCGATAAATAGTAGCGAGCGATAGCGTATAAATAGCGAATATCGATAATTAGTAGATGAATCTGGCAGTAGTACGAGGAGAGTCGTGAGTTGTTTTTTTTTTTTTTTCTTTTCATTAACGTTTTGCGCAGCAAGTCGATGGAGCAGAAGGGGAGCAGGGAACGACGAGTAAAAGACGAGAGTGCGAATAAAGTTTTGTGGTCGTGGTCAGGAACATGCGACATTTACACATCGAGTACATATAAAAGTGTGTCTTACAATGCGCCTCGCGCCGCAAGCGCGATCCTCGCTCGATTTTGCACCTGTTGCTCGCGCAAAAGACGCGGTCGTCGTATTCAAAGTGCAAGTTAAATATAGATTGTCCCGGGAAAAATGATTAGCCGCACGCTGGCACCCGTGTCGCCGCCACTCCTTTCGACAGGATTGAATTTTGGAACGCGCGAACGACCGATGAGACGTTTGTAGCGCGATCGATTCCAGAATTTCGTTGCGAAAGTTTATTCTAATTATATTAAACGCCCGGAAAAATTGATTAAAAATTGTCCGACGCTTTTGTCAAATTGTGAAGAATCTACCGTTAAAGGGAAAAGACGGTAGATCTAACGTGCGCGACGTCGGTGCGATGTTGCTCTTCTGTACGCTTCAATTTTATTAGAAAATCGCGGAGAGTGTGTTGTATGTTTAATACATCGGTTAAACGTGTTTTCTTATCCCTCGTCTCGTTCGTATACCTCGCCAACTTTAGCTGCCACTTGCGCAATTGCGCTTGCAACAGAAAAGATATAGAATAAGCGCAATTGAACTAATACGATTACGTGTAATACGCTTTGGTATGTCAACATTTACTTATACAATGCAGCGTAATGCTTTAATAAATATACAAAGATATATCAGAACTACTTTAAAGTGTAACTCTACCAGCACAACTCCTAAGGCTATCACGATGAATAAACCAAAATCTCATTAGAACGAAGTTAAATTATTAATACTTATTCTTATTGTTTATTAACGCGCTAAATGTTAATTGTGAAGCCGCCAGAAGCAGGTTCTAAACTCCATTTCCTTCGGTAATGTCTTTCTCTGATGGAAATGTCACGGCGAAACCTTTTACCGTCGCTGACATCACAGTAATTTTACAACAAACAATAAACTGATATATTGCAAAAATTCAAATGGCAAAATATGCTCAAATGTCAAATTAATATCAATGATAGAGCCTATTTTGATCGATTAAAAAATCTCATTCAACGCTACAATTTAAAAGTATAAAATATAGACGTATAATTTTTGCACACCGAACAATACATATATTGAATAATATTGAATATCTAATTATCATCTATTATAGAAAATTATTTTTACATTTCAACTTGCATTTTGCTGAGTCGCAACAGCAATAATTTGCAAAGGCCATATTTTTTTCTCAACAGTCGATTTTCAGAAGACGGATTTGTTGTTATTTTTGCTCCCATTTTTTAAATCACTAATTATCGTTCAATTACTTAACACATTACAGTTCTGTAGCGGCAGAAAAGATCGTTGTAAGCTGACGTAAGGTATACGATACGATTGAAAGGGTCGAGAGCGTGTTGAGGTAGAAATCGCGAGATAATTTTGTGCGCGGCACCATTTTCCCGAGACCTGACATTAAAATCCAGCGTCGATCTTGCGAGACTCTCGTGCTTGTTGTCGGCGCGAGTCACAGAAATTCGAGAAATGATTTTTTTTCGTAGTGTAGCTAATAGATACCTAACTAGTACGTATAGTTCGACCGCCCATTTACGCAACAGCGTGTGTTCACCGAAGGTCGGATACAACAATGGGATCTCTAAGTGTTCCGAGCTTTGTCTTTGCTCTCTCCGTCGTTCCGGTCACGATTATTCGAGGTTTCGCAATCGCGATTGTTAATGAATAACGATCGAGCGACTCGATCGGGTCGCGCAACACGCGCGCACGCCTTTCTGCGCGGCTCGCGTTACGCTCGTCGAGATATTTTCATGGCGGAAAACTCGCGCGGTTTGACAAAGTGTCGGCCCGACAGCGGCGTAGGCTCTCGCAAAAGCGGAATGAATGAAATGGCACCGATCTAATTAACCGATCCGACGCGTTTATAGCCGCTTACGTAACGAATGCACACACACGTTAGCTTTACACAATCTTATTAATATATTAATATTGTCGTACTTTCAAGAATATAAGTCATTTTTGCCGCCTGGATGTTGGAATTTCCCGATTTAATAAGTCCGATCTGTGTACCCTAACATTTCTTAATTCGAAACACTTTCCTAACACAATTGCTTAAAATAATTAGCGATGCGCTTTACGTACTTTCGTTTCGACGTATGTATCTCATTCCGTAAATATACATTATGCTTAGGAAAGGCGTGTTCTCGCAACGTGCTTTCCACACAGTGAAAGAACACTTTTGCTGAAAGATTCAAAAATTGTGCCAGATACAGATCTGAAAATGAATTTTGTTGCACAATCGAAATTTATCAACCGATCTTTTTCGTATCGCAGCAAAACAGTTTCGAGTGCTCTGTTGATAAATTATGTCCAACAAAATTTATTTTCAGATCTGTATCTGGCACAATTTTTAAGCCTTTCAAGCAAAAATATTCTTTCCGTATAATGATTTTAGAAATTCACCGCCTGGACTAGTATTCTTTCACATTTATTTTCGCGTTCTTCTTGCAATACGCTGACGAAGGTTTCGGGAAGGCTTTCTCATTAAATTGAATGCATGGCTTGCGCCGTGGCAATTAAGCGATTTGAAGCTCAAGTATTGCGACGGCCATCTATTTACGAACGCTAATAAATGCAGTTCTAAAGGGCAACGTTTTCATTCAGTCGCCTGAATTCTGCGTTACAACTGCATCGGGAGGACAAAGACGTGCCATGCTGCAGGCGCACTTTGCGCGCAGCACGATTAAAATGTGCAAAAAGCCAGATTCGCCAATTGTAATTATCTTTGTGCGATATATCTTGAATGAATTTAGCCGAGTGAAATAAGATTACCAGGGAGAATAGTGGGGGAATGTTTTCTCGACAAGCCGTTTCATAAAATACTGCACGTTTGTGTATGTGGTTCTCTGTGATTTATATGATAAATTTTAATTGCAAGATAAAAATCTTGTTTAAACAAAAAATATTTAAATAACGAAATTAAATATTTACAACTGCGATTTTATATCATACATAAAAAAAAACGCATTACAAAAATTTATCTGAAGTTTATTCATCGAAAAAAAAAAAAAAATACTGTTTTAGCAATCTGCATTTCATGAAAAATCATGTCTTCAACATGATTTTTCGGAATATTCGGAATGAATTTTCGGAATCGCGTTTCGCGTGAATGCGAGACACACAAAGTTTGTGCACGTCGCAAGCGTGCGCTCTAATTGCTATGGACGGATATGTCCGTATCGATTTTTCAGTCGTTTTTTTCACGTTAGAAGACGATGCTCTATTTTGATTCACGATCAATTGGTGAACTGGATTATCGGCACGCGTCACATACCTGCAACCACGTGTTCTTATCGCTAATGGCAGTGTATCGCAAATGGGCAGCGACGTTCAATTCCATGCGAGTTTGATTCTATTCTCCCTTCGGACCTTCGATTTGATTGCGAACTTAGTGGACGTATATTTCGGCGGAGTGGGTTCTTCGAACCGCGATAGCCCTTCGCCGTAGTTATTCGACGACTCGCAACACGATGCGAGTCCGAACGAATTTAGCCGGCCGTACGCAATCGATAAATCCGAGGCCAATGTATCGCCAGCAGTCGTTCCGTCGAACGATGCGAGGCCGCGTCGCATTCAGCTCGCCGATGGATCAGTTAGATGAATCCGCCCAGGGCATCGTGGAAGTCTTGCAAATAGGCGAGTAACTGCGGCATGGTTGGCCGATCCCTAGAGAGACCGATCCAGCAGGCTTCCATACAGGCGAACAGCTCATCGGGACAAGGTCTCGGCTGAGCAAGCCGATATCCGTCCCGGAGACACGCCATCATCTCGAACGGGTCCACCTCCACGTACGGCTGCTGACCAAGTGTCGCCAGTTCCCACAGGAATACTCCGAAGGCCCACTTAAAAGCAAAAAAAGCAATTAAAGCTTATCCTTTTAATTCTTTGATAACAAGATCAAAAGCGTTTCTCACACTTGCGTATTTTAATCGTCAATCGTGAATCTACACAGTCGCTACTGCATATTTGTGTATAAAATTGTAGTAACGCAAATTTGAGTCTGTTTGGAAATATCTTGATAAGCTTGCTACAATTTTATTCAATATATAAATATATTGTTGCGTGCCCTAAATCACGCGCCGTTTATCTTTGCCGTGTTGCTATAGTAACATCGATTAACGAACTATTTGATAGTTTGTAAAAGAGTTTGTAATAAATTAAATGTCATGTGTCAATATTACCATAGAAACTAACTAATGTTTATTAAATTATCGATTTTCTCGGACTGTCAGATTTATGCTAGCTGTCAGATTGTGCGGACGCGTATCTGGTTACGTCGTTACGTTGTTGTGTTATTCAGTGTTTGACAATTAAAGTGTTTTACTATTAAAATTGTGTTCAGTTCTTCGCGCGTGTAATTATCATTCGGGCGATCGCGGACTGTCAATTACGACGCGCGGACGCAACAATATTTATATCAGAAAAAGGGAACGCAACACAGTTGGCGACGTTTGTCAGCATAAATTGAGATCGTACCACGTCGGTCGCCGTGCTGTACTCGTTACGCTGGAGACTCTCTAAGGCCATCCAACGTATGGGTCGGTTCTCGTTATCGCCGAGACAATGGTAATCCTGAGGGAACAGGTCCCGAGCCAGGGCGGCGTCAGCCAATCTCACGCGAAGACTGCTTGGTTCGATCAGGCAATTCCTGGCAGCGATATCCCTAGAAACAAATTATCGATCCTGAGACGGAAACGATCGCGCTGACATTTCGACGATAACCGTGATAGACGAGCTCTGTACACCGCAGGAGACAATGACAGTTCTAATGGCGGCTTCGCGGTCGCGACAATAATTCATTTTATTGTGCGCTTAGCAAGTCGTCCAAATTCTAATTCTTAATCCAATGTAATCGTCATGTGTCAAAATCCATGTGATTTTCCTTAAAACATTTGAAGGCGATACAAAATTGATTGGACAGAATATAATTTTAAATTTTGAAATTGCTGGAAATACAAAAGTTTCTACAATTTTCAAGGCAATTTAATCAATAATACAATATTCTTCGGCATTGTTTATCACTTTTTACAACTTTCGAACGATCTGTCTACACACGAGCGATGGAAACTTTTGCATACTTTTGCAATATAATTGGTACTAAAGAATAATGATTTCTAAGATTGTAAAACAATTAGGTTTAATAGCGTTGAAATAAGATGTGGACAATAATGTATGCCAACCTGTGCAACAGTCCTCGTCCGTGGAGAAACGCTCCAGCTCTAGCAGTCTGTGCACCAACGTGTACCAGGTCTCTAGTCACCGGATGATGGTTTCCATCGGTAAGATAGACTTTCAGGTTCAGCTCACCGGGCGTGCATGTGTAAGCCAGTAAAGGGCATGAACTGTCCAGACAAGCGGCCGCCAAAGAGGCAATGTTTGTGTGAACTAATCCAGCTAGTTGCGAACCCTCCACAACTAAAAGAGAGGCTTGATAGGCGGACGCCACTTCTGGAATAAACATGATTATGCAGTCTTAATGATGCCGTAATTAGAATGCCAACGTGTTAATAGGAATTAAGCCTTTATTTTACCTTGCGTTGTCTGACAAATATTTGTACCAACTTACTTTATATAATTAATTGAAATAATAATGCAAACTTAAATTTGCTATAAGAATATTTTTATCTAAATAATATTATAATCTTTAATTATTTTTTAGTAGAATAGATTACTTTACAAACGTTCGAATAAATGTGCGACATAACGTATAGAAGAAAAGATATCATTATTCAATTTTATATTTGAATATTAAATCAACAGGTATTGAATAACCGATAGTAGATACAACACCTTTCTATTTTATCCTGAACAGGTATTCTCATTGATCTATAGATCATTGAAGTGTAATTTTCTTTGAGAAAGATGATAATTACGATTCATAAATTGATGAATGTAATAAACAAAGTATTTACTATTAAAATATTTTGATTAACAAATAGTTATTAGTGTACATTTAAAAATACAGTTAAAAATAGACAATGTAATATTATTTTACATGACATACTATATATAGAACATAATATAAAACACATATAATAGTAAGGCTCTATGATAACAAGAAATATAATAGAAGAGCATTAAGAGCCGTCGCAGGATGTTAGTGCTAAATTTTTAATTTTTCTTAAAAAATTAATAAATTAGTCCACAAAAGACAGTTAAATTGTACACCGATCTCAGATCGAGATACCTAAAGTGTACAAAATTTTAAGTACATTGTTCTCATATATCGAGAAACTTAATGCACATATAGGAATTATTGGAAAGAAAGGAAGAGAGAGAAAAAATATCAAGGCGCGAGTGGCTAAGCCGGGAATTGAACCCGGGTCTTCCGCTTGCCGGGCGAATGTTCTAACCACTAAACTACTCAGACCCCACGCTTCTAACATTTATCTCTCCTAGATTAGGAAATCAACAATTCTGTAGAACATAAACGCGTTATAATGCCCGTGTGATTTAAAAACACATATAATAGTAAGGCTCCATATGATAACAATCAAGAAATATAATAGAAATATAATATAAAACATTTCTTTCATAATTTAAAACAGTCTCACCTGTAACTGTCTTTAGGATGACTTCCTGTTCTCGTCCGGCTATCTCCAAAGTTCCTTTGTATATGCGACCAAATGTACCCTCCCGCACGAGAGTACGACAATACAACGCTGATCTCGACACAGCGAGCGCTCTGGCCTTTTCACACGGATCGGTCGACTGAAAATCATGATATATATATTCTTTCAATTTCTATATAAATAATTGTTAAATAATACAAGCAGTATAGTTAGCTTCTAAAATACTTCATGCAACAATGAAAAATTAATTATTATCGAGAGTGACCTAAAATGTATCACTGAAATTTCCCGACATTTGACAAATTAAAAAAGTGAAGTAATTTTCGAAAACAAAGTTGAATAATAAAGAGCAATGAATGAAAATTTCTCTCACACACACACGGATCGGTCGACTAAAAATCATAATATTATATATATTCTTTCAATTTCTATATAAATAATTGTTAAATAATACAAGCAGTATAGTTAGCTTCTAAAATACTTCATGCAACAATGAAAAATTAATTACTATCGCGGTTGACCTAAAATATATCACTAAAATTTCCTGACATTTGACAAATTAAAAGAGTAATTTTCGAAAACAAAGTTGAATAATAAAAAGCAATGAATAAAAGTTTCTCGTACGATTAACATATTTCAGATTTTTATATCTTTCGGAGAAAAAGTATGAAATTTATGCAATAATTTCTACGTTGATAGTTAACAACTCGAACTTGCTGTTATTTAAAATCTCAATCCCGCGGTCGGGCGCACTTGCATAATTCATAACACACTCTCTCTCTCTTTCTCTCTCTCTCTCTCTCTCTCTAACTCTCTCTCTCTCTCTCTCTCTCTCTCTCTCTCTTGAAAAAAAACCCCATCAGGCGGGGATTCATTAAAAAGGCATTTGTCGTGTGTAAGGTGACGCCGACGAGATCTCGCTCGGGTCCTCCGGGGAAACGCGCAGGGAAGAATTCTCCCTCCCCTCGGGCGTTATCGTTATGGCATCGCGCGGTTCTCTTTGTTCGCCAGGCGGATTTCCATCGGTCCCGACGTAAAACGCGAGAAAGCTATGCGACGCGCTCACAGGAGGGGTGACTATTCATTAATTTCAATTTTCCGGAGTTTTGCCTTCGGCCCCTCCCGTTCCATTTGGACATACACGCGCGCGCGCAACATTCGCGCGTAGACGGGAACGAGCCGCGGGGGCGGAAAGGGAATGGGGGAAAAAAAGGAAAAGAAACGACGGAAAAACCAGTTCGAAACACGTCGATGCGACCGCGCCGCGAAATTACCGGGCGGTGTATTGGATTCGAGAAAGAGATGCGCGCGCGCGCGCGCGCGGTGGCAACGGCAGGGAGATCCGAATGGACGCGAGGTTTGGTCCGCGAGTGGTCTGGGAAATTATTTACGAAATTCCCGGATAGCGCGGGATGCTCGGTGAAAATGCAAACACCGCGGCTAATTCCGCGGCTTATCGAGGTCTGTGATTATTGCAGAGGCGAATTGTGTCGGCGCGCCTAGCGAGCGTTGTTTTCGCGCGAACGATGGCGAAGCTCGGACCGAGGACGTATACGCAATTCGTCGATTTCGCTTTCCCCCGCGGTTATATTTTTTTCGCGACTCGATCTCGATACGCGCACGTGTGTGTGTGTGTATTTTTTTTCCGATGAAAATGTGATGAGCGAGATGGGAAATTGCCGGACGGGGACCGTTTCGCGCCCTAAAGGTGCGAATGGCGTTCAGTGTTGCGTAACGAAGCTATAAATATAAATTAGATTAGCATTAAGAATTGAAGTCTGATTTCCAGTCGCCATAAATTCCGTAGCCTAGTTTCAACTCTGAAATGCTAGAGGGACTAAAGTAACTTGCAATTAAATTTTACATTCGATGAGTTTTCATAAATAAAAATGACTTTGATTTGCATTCGAAAATGAAGGAACGGAAAATTGGCGACTTGTTCGACGCAAAGCGACTCCTTCGTTCGCACTATTTTCTATTACTTCTTAATATTTTGAATATTTAATCATTCCAACTGTTTTCGGTCGTAAATATTCAGATAAACGATCGTTCGAAGCTTAACTTACGCTTACTAATGCGCGTTTACTTCGCTGTTTGCATTAGAGAATCAGAATCGCAGTATCGAACGTATAGCGCCACGGGCGAGAGTTTTTAGCTCTCGTCCAGTACGGAGCAGCGATTTGATTTATTTACCGAAAGGCTTTCGTCAAACATCACGTTCATTCGTTCATACGCTCGTTCGCTCGTTCATTCGTTCGAACGCTGAAGGCGTTCTAAAAGCTTCGTTTTCAGACTACCGCGTCCGACATGCCCAGAGCGACGCGCACTTTTAATTCGACTGCGCCGATTTAATAATACAGTTTTACCGTCTCACTCGATTAAAGCAGCGGCTCGGCACGACAGAGCGGAGCTTGGCGGCGGCGAGAATTAATTAAATCGAAGAATCGGCTTTTACGTAACCCAGCGTCAACTAATAACGCAGCGGCAACTCGATACGTCGCGAAGTATAATTGCTAATTCAACGACGCAATCGCCGTCCGCGCGCGGCGCCTGCACTTTTGTAATTCTATTACTATCTTAAATGATTTACGCCGGCTTTTTAATTCGCACGAAATTACCGCTGTTGCCGAGTCAGTCTGTCTCGCCGCGCGAGCAAGATTTACAAAATAAACTGCTAGACATTCATCTCTTTCAGAGATGTAAACTGCGTGTTTCGCTCATCGTCGGCTTACAATTTGCTATTGAAATAATTTCTCAAAAGTTTCTAATTAAGTATACAATTCTTTCATCAGTTAATGTGTGTGAAATTATGTTCTAATTTATTTAATTTATATATTTCACATGACAATGACTTAAAAATAAAATATACGGAGAAATTATTGAAAATAAATGTACAAAATGTTTAATATGCTATATGTAGTTTCTGTAAATTTAAATTTCGGATTTTGTCGCTGTGATCCGAGAAAATAACAATCGAAATACACATACAAGTCTCATATTTTGAGACTTTATCGAAAAGAGTGTTAATTTTTGTGTGTTTCTCTGTTTTCAAAGTCTCAAAATATGTTTCACGTTTCTTACATCAATCAGTTTCGTGTAACAGCGTACGTATTTTTTCCAAATTTTAATTGTTATTTTCTCGAGTCACAGCGACAGAATCCGATTGAAATTAACAGAAATTGCATATAGATATCAAACATTTTGTATATTATTTATATATTTTATTTCTCTTTACATACAGCGGGGCAACAACCCTAAAATATCGAATGAAAAATAAATATACTGAAAAAATAATGCGTAAAGTCAATTTTCGACGACACGAGAGAACGAATTAAACTACACACACACACGCATAACAATAAAGCTAAATTCCCCGTGATAATTTGCTTCGATAAGCAACTATTCGTTTCTCGTCGAGCAAGTGCAAAGTACGAGGATCAGATAGGAACAGCGGTAAATACATCAGTCACAGCGGAACTTTTACGAGGAAAAAGACACGGATCTCGGGGCGTTGCGGGTTAGGCCATGCGGAAAATGCCGGGGTCGCCAGTGCCATTTCCCTGCGCTCGTCTCCGCTCGCGCAGAAATCCACGAAGGAGATCCCGCAGGAGGAGGAGGACGTGTGTTTGTCCTCGTGCCGAAGATCGTTTCGCCCCCCACGATAGACAGCGCCAGGTAATGGCTTCCCCAGCAATGGGATCTCAAGCGTATCGTTTTACAGGGTGGGGTAAGACGCTGCCGCTGGATTACGTCAGTCCGAGAGAGGGACCCGGCGGTGGCTCGTGGATGGGGGAGGGTAAGTTTTCACGAAGGTTCACGGTTACATCAATCGGTTAGTGCGCGTACGTACGTGCCGGCGCGCACGTGCGCGTAACTGTACGTGAGCGTGCAGAACTGAGTCTGCTTTCCGCGCGCGCGCGCGTGTGTGTGCGCGTATGTGTGTGTGTGTGTGTTCACAGGGTTGGTTGCGTTCGAGACGGAGCGTCGCGTCGGAGGGTTGGTTGAGGCACATACGCGCGTATACCCGGTAAATTGATCCAAGATCAAAGCCGAAACAATCACAGGGCCCACTTCCAGCTACACTCTCCTCCCCCCCTCGCTCTCTCCCTCCCCGTCTCCTCCTTTTCCGTGCCGCGTCTGAGAAGGGCCGAGCGCCGGCGTCAGCGTCGGCGACGAGCGGCTGCCGTAGCCCGTGTGTGTGCAACAACCCCCGCCCGCCCGCCGGCGCGCACTCTCCTTCCCGACAAAGTGCAGGTGGGTGCCCGCGCGTTTCTTTTTCCGGGGAAATTAATGCAAAACGCTTGTTCCGACGGGAACAAGCGGCGCGGCGCGGCGCGGCCGCGCCGCAGGAAACGCGCCGGGTCTCATATTTATTCGACATTTTCGCGCGCGACCCTCGCTCTCTCTCCTCTCTTTGACTGCGCACTTTGCAGGATGATACTTCGGGGATGACGGAATAATAGCGGCGGGTAATAGCGCGTGCTCTAAAACGGTAGTTAAAACGGCGCGGCCGGCCGTGACACGCGGCGATTGCGTGCGCGGCCGGTTATTGAAATCGATCTTTACCGCCTGTGGCCGCCCGTAAATAGCGCCGTACGCATGTCGAAACGCACGTATTACACGCGGAAGGACACTTACGAATTGCCTTATCGTCCTGCATAAAGACGTAGTCGTATTAATTATATTGACTAACTTTTTTTTGACAAAGCCTTTAACCGGCGAT